CCTTCCTTTGTAAGTTGTAAATTAGGTATCACTGGGATACTACGCGGCTTAGCTGCTAACTTTCCTGTTTCAGTTAACAAGTCAAGTACGTACTTTCTTTGGGACAAAAGGAGCCCCTTCTTGCTCCTTGTTACTTCAATTCCTAAGAAATATTTCAACATTCCCAAATCTTTAGTATGAAATTGACTATGAAGAAAAGACTTGGGTGATAGGATGTTTGATGAATCATTATCAGTAATCACAATATCATCAACATATACAACTGGTAAGATAACACCAGACTCAAATCTTTTATACAAAACAGAATGATATAATTTACTCTTCTTCATTCCAAAATTCTCAATCACCTGACTGAATTTTCTAAACCATGCTCGCGGACTTTGTTTGAACCCATATAAGGATTTACGAAGGCGACATACCTTTCCATTCTCCCCTGAGCAACAAAACCTGGTGGTTGCTTTATATAAACTTCTTCTTGAAGATCACCATGGAGGAATGCATTTTTAATATCAAGCTGATGCAAGGGCCAATGGTGAATAGATGTCAGCGAAATGAATAACCTGTTAGAAGCCAATTTAGCAACCGGAGAAAAAGTATCAGAATAATCAATTCCGTAAGTCTGCGCATATCCTTTAGCAACAAGGTTCAGACGGGCAATTGATCCATCTGGATGAACTTTAACATCAAACACCCATTTACAACCGATAGGTTTCTTTCCTGCAGGAAGAGACACTAAATCCCAAGTACCATTGTTATCTAAGGCAGTCATCTCCTCCAACATAGCAGTCCGCCAACCAGGATGAGACAAAGCTTCATGAACAGTTTTAGGAATAGATACAGATTCAAGGGATGCAATAAACGAACAAGTAGATGATGATAAATGGTTATATGAAACAAAAGAAGAAATAGGATAAGTACACTTACGCTTACCTTTTCGAAGGGCAATAGGAAGGTCATCACTCGTTCCTGGATCCACAGGCAAAGAAGCTGCTGGTATAAGGCATGAGTCTGTAGGAGGTTGCCGACGAGAATAAACTTGAGTAATAGTGGGGAGAGAAGGTGATGTAGTAAACTGTTATAAGTTAGCTTGTATAAGGTTGTTAGCTTGTATAGGGTTTCAAGGCTGGTTCTGCTCATAAATTGCAGAAAAAGAAATTTGGTCCGTTCAAGGTCCTGAAGAAATACGGCCCAAATGCTTATAAAATTCAACTTCCCTCAGATTTCAACATCAGTCCAATATTCAATGTTGCAGACATTCATCCATGTGCTGCTCCGGATTCATTTGTGTTAGCCTCTTAAACTCGAGGTCGAGTTTCTTTTTGGAGAGAGGGAAATTGATGTAGTAAACTGTTATAAGTTAGCTTGTATAAGGTTGTTAGCTTGTATAGGGTTTTAAGCCTTTCTAATTCTGTTAGTTAGTTTACCCTTTGGTAAACTAGTAGTTACCGTTAGCCTACTTCTCTCCTATTTAAAGGCTTTAGTTGTATCTTTTGAAGGCAGATTCTTATCAATAGTATTTTCTTATTCCTAAGTTGCATCAGAAGGATCAGGCGCAGAGGGAGATGTATTGCTATGAAGTTCTTCAGTAGAAGTAGAGACAAAAGAATAGACAAGAAAGGTATCATCTTCGTGTGATTGCTCCCCCTGACTGGTACTCAAGGACGATGAAAAAGGAGTATTTTTAAAGAACGTAACATCAGGAGAGACAAGATATCTATTGAGATCAGGATAATAATATCGATACCCTTTTTGAACACGAGAGTAACCAAGGAAAATGCATTTCAATGACTTAGGATCTAATTTGGTGAGCTGGAGGCGAACATCCTGAACGAAAAAAGTGCAACAAAATATTTTAGGTTTAATAAGAAATAAAGATTTCGTAGGACATAGAGTACGATAAGGTATTTCACCCTTAAGAATTGACGAAGGCATGCGATTAATCAAGAAGCAAGCCGTCGAAACAGCATCAGGCCAAAAGTATTTTGGAACATGCATTTGAGATAGTAAGGCCCTTGCTGTTTCGAGAAGATGTCTATTTTTCCTTCCTGCAACTCTATTTTGAGATGGAGTATCAGCACACGACGATTGATGAATAATACCATGTTCACTTAAATAGGAGCCAGGAGCACCAGGAAAATAGCATTATCACTCCGTAGAACTTTAAGAGAGACACCAAATTGAGTTCGAATTTCAGCATGAAAGTTACGAAAATGAGAAAGTAACTCAGAACGATGTTTCATCAAATATAACCAAGTTACACGAGAGAAATCATCGACAAAAGTAACAAAATACCGAAATCCATTTTTGGACTCACTAGGACAAGGACCCCAAACATCAGAATGGACTAATTCRAAAGGAGCATTAGCTCGTGTATTGACTCTAGGATAGGAATTGAGACAATGAACTTAGCAAATTGACATGACTCACAATCTAAAGAATGCAAACTATGAAATTGAGGAGGGAGACTCTTTAATACGGAGTGAGATGGATGACCCAAACGACAATGTTCTTCGAAAGGAGTTGGCACTCAAGTGCAAACGGTGGCTGTAGGTATTTGTGTATCAAACGTGCAAAGGCCATTAGATTCACGCCCTTTACTAATAGTCTTCTTCGTTGTAAGATCCTGAAATAAGCAATAGCCAGGAAAGAATAAGACACAACAATTGAGATCACGAGTAAGTTTATTGACAGAGATCAAATTAAAAGAAAATTGTGGCAAATTTAAAACATAGGTCAATGAAAGAGTTTTGGAGAGATGAGCTGTGCCAGAGCCAAGAACAGGAGAAGTGGTGCCATCTGCTATTGTAACATCAGGTAAAGATGTAGATGGTGAAAAGGTAGCAAATAAATTGAGTTACCTGACATATGATTCGTAGCACCAGAGTCAATGACCCATTTTGACGCTGAGAAAATAAGACATTTATTGGTATTACCTGAATCAGCAATGACAGTAATTGGATTAGAGGATGATGCCATCAATAACTCTTGATACTGTTGGAATTTAGCAAACTCTTCCGCAGAAATCGTTACCGTTAATTTCTTCTCGATCATAACTTCAACAATATGGACACAAACAAAAACTGCATTTAAACAGACCAAACCAAATCTGAAGGAGGAAAGGGAATCGAACCACACCAATTGAACAGAGCCAAGTGAACCAAACCAATTGAACTGAAACAAACGAACCGGACTAGAACCGGTATAAATCAACCAAATCGAACCGGAATGTGATGAACCAGACCGAACCGAACCTGAACCGGATGAACCAAACTGCTTGAAACCAAATCGGTTGAACTGGATCGCTTCAACCGGATCGGGTGTTTTCTGAAACCAGAAACCCTAAGTGCTACCTCACGACAACTAGAGGGGCGAAGGTGATTGGTGGTGACGGAAGCGTACGGCGACTGACGGCGACGAAGGTGTGAAGGACGGCGAGACGAAACCCACGAATAGCAATTGGAAAACAGCAGCGTTGGCGAATTAGCAAACGGTGGCGGCGGTCGGCGGCGATAGTGGTAGTGAGTTGAGTTGGATAGCAATGAACAAAACCCTAAGGGACAAAACCCTAATGGGCATCAAAACCCGAATGGGCACAAAAATTTTAGAAGAAACTTAAAGTTCTGATACCATGTAGAGACTAAGGTTGGAGAGAATTCAATGTGATGTATTCTCATTATTAAAGTCTATATATATAGACAAATATACAAGGTTGACCTAATCCTATAAGAAGAAGGTAAAGGACAAATTAATATTAATACAAGAATATAAAATATACTAATATCTATACTCTAACAGATACAAACTCCAAGAGGAGTGAGCGAAATAAAAGAAGCAATAATTAAAATAGAGACAACAAAGATAAGGATAAAGATAAAAGCATCACTAAGGGGGGTTATAAATGCCTCCCAATTCAGAGAAAGCATGCTAGGAGAATAGGAGGAGAAGAGATCGGAATGAACACACCATTGTGAAGCTTTAAATTTGGCTATTTTAGCTTTTGTTCCAACCAAGGAAATTTCTATTGAGGCAACACTTAAACATCCTTGAGGTGGAGGACATAGGCTTGGCTTCCTACAGTCTGCTGCTTGAACTTTAAGCCTCAAGGCAACACTCTTCAGCCTCACTTTATGCATTTTTTTACTTTGTTTTTTTTTTAACAATTAATATATGAAAAGGAAAAAAATGTTCAAAGATACAACCTAATGGGAGTGAAAAAAGAAAGGAAAAAACAGCCAAATGAAGAACAAAAATTTAAATGAATAGACTAATAACATTGAAATAAGAGGACAAATATACATACAAGATTAAATGATATTTTTGACTTACGAGACTCAATGAATAGTTTGTATCTTATACACTCTCTTGTAGTGGTGTCCTTTAACTTTGTCGTCTCTACTATGTTTATTTATTTTTTTCTTCCCTCCTTTCGAAGTTTGTATCTTTGAAAAATTTTGTTCCTTTTCATTAATCAATGAAAAGTTCATATGTCGTTCAAAAAGAAAAAATAAACAAAACAACTAAAAGAGAACATATGACTTTATCAAAAGAAACTTCAATCGATGGAGATAGGCTCTGATTTATGCATCTTTGTACTTTGTAAATCAAATTCCTCTAGTTTCCTCTTTTATTTTTTTGAGATAGAAGGGACAGAATAAGGTTGCTCTTCCTTTTTCTCTTCCTTCTACAGAATGCAACTAAAAGCAAATATGTGATCACTAATGTTAAAATTCCCACCAATCTCAAGAGCTAAAACTTTTTGATCACGGAGGACTTAACTATGTAGTCTTAGTACACTCTCTTGTATGATCTTAAATGGTATTTTTGACTTACGAGACTCAATGAATAAACTAATAACATTGAAATAAGAGGACAAATATACATACAAGATTTATGTAAATATTTCTCACCGAGTACTTAAATGATCATTTTTTAAAGTTTATGCTATGGAGTTAAGGTGGACTTAATCATTTAATTAATTCTCAACAGTTGTATTTTGATAGAGGCCCAAATTCTTAAGATCAAGAACAAACTATCAAGGAATCAATGTAGACACACTCAGAGCTCAAAATATGGAATCTGGGCCATTCTTCAACCAGGTATAAGTTACTGCCTCTTTGTTATATTTATTTGTGTGTCAAGTTTAAATGGATCATATTTGTACATAATGTAATTCTGCAAATAGCATTTATTATTGTATTTTCTATTTGCTTTTCAGATGCCATATGAAATGAAGTTAGTCTGGAACTAAGATATGAACTGGATAATATCATATAAAAATTCAATATGGATATTTAAATATGATAATTATCCTCTTTAACTCTTAAGACTCAGAAAAATGGAAGTGCATTACAATGAAGTTAATGTCTCAATTAAGTACCAAGACTCAATTAAGTTTCTGATTGGACGACTGAGAAGACCAATGGTCCAATTACTATATCCAGTTCTTTGATATGAGAAATTTGTGTATCAAGGATTATATTAGTTGCTTTCTTATGTTTGACCAAGTGAATTTGTCATTTGACAAAGGAACTCTTTTAATTCCATCACCTTGATTGCTTCATTGAATTTTTTCATGTTTCAGGTTCTCTTACCTCCATTAGATTTTCCATGAGATCATCTAATAACATTATAATCTCCTCCCAAAAACTATACTCCATGCAATAGGCATGAAGGTTTGACAATTTGATAAGGCAATCCTAATTCTCAGCCCAATGATCCAAGCTTTTGTTGAGCAAGAACCCTTGAATCAAAGAAATTAACACCTCCTTAAACAAGTTAGAATCAACCAAGAGAAAGGCTAGAAATTGATTACCTCTATGATCAAAGATCTTGAAGCAAGAATGGAAATCTTGTTCTAGAATGAGTCATTCCACAATCAAACTTGATCAAGGCTGGATTGAATGGCTCAAAATGCAATCTATCACAAGAATTGCAAGAAACCTTAGAAATGGCAATGAGATTTCTAAAGAAAATGTCTCTTGAGAGATCAAATTTCATTCAGCTAAAATCTCCTTTTACATAGCTTGGATGGGGCTTTTTATAGCCATTATATGAGTGAAACCCCCAACCCTTCACTTTCCAAAATAAAACCCATAAGTAGTAATGACCACAATTGGTCTACTTAATAACTTCTCAGAATTGAACTCTAAAGTTGAAACCATAATTTGGAAGACCAAAAACTCAAAAATTACCAGCAAAATTTGATGACTTAGAAACAACAAATGAATCTTTAAAATGTTGGCACAACGTCAATCTTGCAAACGTTGACCTTCACAACATCGTCCTCTCTTGGATTATTTTGCAGCATCTGAAATAAAGGTTGAACTGAGCCTATCCAATTTTGTACGTGAATAAGGAATGCTTGTTGAAGCTTCTTAGCCTTGGCTCGTGTAATAGGTCCAGTGGAGACGTGCGGAACACCATGATTCTTATCACAATTCTTCCCGGAAAATTTCCTTGGTTGTTATTTGGCTGATACATGTTTGTTTCCCGTACAAATTGATGTTAGTAAGAATAAGCAAATGGTAGTAGTAGTTCTGATCATGGCCTCAGACAAGTCGCTAGAGCAAATGGTAGGAGTAAGAAATTTCTAGATGAAAGTTATTGCTTGGAATGTTTGTGGGTTGGACTCTCCTGCCAAGCGAGTATTGGTAAAGGATATCGTTATGCTTAATAATCCTGATATAGTTATTCTATTCTTTTTGAAACTAAGTTTGAGTTTAGCAGTCAAAGGCTGATCAAGTCTAACTGAAGCTCTAAAAATATTCTTGGGCCTCTATTGATGCCTTTGGGACTCCTCGGGCTCGTCAGGTAGCATCGTCTATGGAAAAAGCTTGCTAGTTAGGGTTGGGTGTGGCAGAAGACATAAAATGGAAGTGGTTGCGAGATTATATGTCTCTTAGTTAAAATGTTCAATGGGCTTAGTCTTTTTAATATTTCAAGTTTGTTTACAAGTTCAATTTGTCGATTATCTGACAATATATCAAATAACTGCTAATCTATTTTTCTCAATTAGATAATGACTTCTTGTTATAGATTGGTTATTCCACCTCCAACTTGTCTTTTTCTTCTCTCTTCACTCCAATGGGAGTTTGTATCTTTSAACTTGTATGGTTTATTTTCAATCATCAATGACAATTTTGTATCTTGTTAAAAAGAAAAAAAACTTATCTGTTCAAGTTCTTGTCCCTCTTCTAGGTCACAGCAAACTTGATGCCTTTGAACACAAGGAAAGTAGCTGTTCAATTTGACACTTTCAAAATTCTTGGTTTGGTAAGTCATCTGTTTTGTCTGGTTATTTTAATTAGTAATTCCATATATAGATCATACTATATTCTGTGCCTTGCATTTCACAGACTTTGGGATTCAGATTCTTGAAATAATAGGAATGAGAAGTTAGATTACTACTATCAATGAAATTTTTTCTTATTATAAAAGAAAAAATTACATTGCTGGAAGTGTGGATGTCATGTATAGGAGTTATGACTGAAACTTTTCACAGGACCTTACATGCAAAGAATCGAGCTGCTTTGGCTTACTCTTTAACCATATGAAAACTGCTTAGTTATGACCATTGAATATTAAGTTTCTTAAAGAATCAAGCTCCTTTATGCTTCTCGAAGGGGCATTGCTTCTTTATGCTTCCTGAAAAAGTTTGGAGTTTCTGTTGCTGGTCGGCAAAAGGAATTGCTCTGTTCTTTTATCATTGATTGGCCAAGGGTCAAGTGTCCAATTGTGTTTTTACTAGGAGGGGTGGTGGGGGTTGGGAGAAACACAATTTGCTAAAAGTACGTAAGAATAAGTGCCCAGAAGTGCAAAATATTTCTATAAAGGTAACTATGATATAATCGGGAAACACACAATTAGAAAAAAGTATGACATCAGGGTCAAGTATCCAAAATTAGTTTTGACTATTAAAAAATTCTGAAAAGTACTTTTACTTAAAAAAAACACTTTTTACCCTCTCAAGTCATAAAAAACCAACCATTAGCAATCACACAATAATTTATTGCACTATCAAACAATTACTCAAAAGAAGAAATTCTAAATTAAAAACTTGTGAAGAGCTTTCTTAAATATCTTATAATTTGTCAAGAATTGGTGCCCAGAAATGCAATAGATGGAACTCAAAAACAATTTCCAGATTGTCAAACTCATATAAACTGTAAATTGGTGTGAAGACTACCTTATAAACTAAACTATCAAATCATTTGTTCAGCAACCAACCTAACACTTCGCTCAAATCACGAAGTAAGTCAAGGCACACCTCTTCTTGGTTGTGGCTGAATGAAGTCATCCCGGTTGAGTGCCACTATAGCATGCCACTAAGGTCTCTCGATGTATCTCTCACTAGTTATAATTTTATTGATGAATAAATTTTCCATGTTTGAACAACAGATACCTGTTAAAGCACCAGGAAGAGCTCGTGGTGAACTGGAAATCACATATTTGGATGAAGAGTTGCGGTAAGATATTGTGCTAAAATAGACTCTTCATATCTTTAGTATTGAGCGAGACGAATTCTATAAACTGTGCACAAAGTTGCTTATCATTTTCTCTAGTTTTCTTCTGGTTGTAGGAAGTATGCTTGATTTCTGGATAACAAACATTTAATGCTCAGACTGAAGATAGGTGGTTAGATTAGATGACATCTATATCAAGATTGAATAAGCTTTTAACAAATATATAATCAATCTTCATGTCCCAAAACCAACCATTTATTTTATTGATCTTTCTATAAAAGAATATCAGAAACTGTTAATATAGATTATAATTAGTAGTTATGTCATTGATAAACAAGAAGTTCTATGTATAATGATCATTGATATAAATGAACTTGAAATAAAAGTCAGCTGAAGGATTAAATTTACACAAATAATAGTTTAGAAGAAAGTTTGTGTCTAAAGGTAGTAGGCTTACTCTTATCAAGTTTAATCCAGTATCTCTTATTGCTTTCTGTCCTCAGTTTAAACCAAATTGTCTCTTTTGTTAAGAGTTTTTTTGAGTGACTTTCTTTGAGAATGTTGTGAGAAGGGAGAGCTTCTTAGTTGGTTTCATTTCCATTTGCTCTCCCTCAGTCTGCTAGGGATTACTTGACTCTAGGATGTAGGATAAGTTTGAGAGGGTGAAAAGTACTTTTATAGCAATAATCGAGATTGTACAAATTCTCAGAATACTCTGAAACACTCTACAAGTACCTTCTTATGTTGGTTTCATGCTCCAACATTACGTTTTCCAACACTACATTTTTGTAGCTTTTTAGTTAGATAATTGAGATGGTACAAATTCTCCGAATACTCTGAAACACTCTACAAGTACATTTTATGAGAATTATCTTATTAGTACTTTTTCTAAAATTGTTTATAGAAGTGCTTTCACATAAAAGTACATTTTCAAAAGTCATCCCAAACTCAGTTGTATAAACTAGAGAACTTTGGATGTTAGCTTTGCAATTTTGGCATGTCTATCTGGATCACTTACTATAACATGTAAAGTGTCTGTGATGCTTAAGAGATAATCTATTCAGTTTCTTCTATTTTGAAAAGACCTTAAAGTGGATAAATATTCAATCATTCTCAGTTACAAACATTACAATAAATCTTCTTGAGTAGAATATAGACACCTTGCAAATAAGGAAATAATAAAAAATTATAATCACCTACTAATTACAGCTAATATACCAAACTAAATATTAAAAAACCTAATATTTACTTAAATTACATAAATCAACACTTGTATTCTTCTATTCATCACCAAGGTTTATTAAACTTTCTTTTAGTTCAACAATTGTTGGATGGTGTTTTATTACACTGATATCTTTGAATTTTGACAGAATATCCAGAGGTGACAAAGGAAACCTGTTTATCTTGAAGATGATCGATCCTTCTTATCGAGTACCCGTGTAAGGCTAATCTCTTTACTTGTTATATATCCTCATAAAACTTGAAGAAACTACACAACCAGAGAATGATTATTTTGTAAGTTGATTCTGGGGATATCTTGATAAAAATTGAGACCATCTTCTGTGTATCTATGCCAAATTGTTCTATAGAAATCCCTCTACAATGCAATATAGAAACAAATAGTTCATAGTTCCAAATTTATGAAAGTATAGATTTTTTTTTTCTTTTTAAATTTATGAATTTATACTATAATATTGTATTTGTGGGATGGTTTGCAAGAAAGGACGGTTTAAATCATATTTTGGTCTCTAAATTTCAAGTTTATTCCAATTTAATCTCTAAGACCTAGTTTG